GATTCAGAAAATTAAAAATTGTTGTGTACAAACTATAAGTTAGCTGTTTTCCAAATGACATATGACGAATGGAGTTCTAGGAAAGAATAATCAACAAATATTTCTTGAGTATTGTGGGCTCACTACTAAGCCTGTGCTCTAAATGAAGACAGGAAAATGGATGATAAAAGCAGTGAGATTCATCTGAGTCCTAAACTCTTTTTCATCAACTAGGAGTATGAGTGTAGTTTAACCTCTTATTTTTTGAGGCCTTCCTTGCCTATCCATGTCTTCTTGTTTGTCCGGATCTTCACATGGGGTTGTCTGAGAATGCTGAAGACTTAAAGTTGAAAGATACCAGTCTTAGGATCTGACTGGGTGGCCTCTGCCTTGCATCTTGATGCTTGATGATGCTTTTAAATACCAATTCTGTGTAGCTTAGAAACTAGTCCAGTACTTGGATTTGGCTGGAGGAACACCCCTGGTGGCACTATTCCATGTGTGTGCACCGGCTTTAGGAATTTAGTTCATATTCTCATGCTCAGCATCTTCCCCTAATTTGTGTCAAAGCAAATGGTTCTGGAGAAGCAGAGAATAGCATCAGCCACATCATGGTGTGTTAACTCCAGACACCCTCTTAATTCTTTGGTTTTTGTATTAAGATGGGGTGATGCGCCCAGGCTTCCCTTCTCATGTTAACTGTATTTCTGTGGTGTAACTGTCTTGTGCCCCAATGGACGCACTCAGGTCAATTTTCAAATCTTGGTGGGCTGGCAGCATTAGCATCTTCTTTGCCAGAAGCTCTTGGGCTCCTGACACAAATTAGTACACTCCCTGCTCCAGTATTGGAGTGGCATCCCAGTGGCCTTAGGGACTTGCAGCCTTGCTCCAGTAGCAGAAGGCTCTCATATCACACTAGGTCAGGATATGGTGGACTTCCATGTTGGCTTAACCCAGAAGAATTATTAAATGACCTTTTTTCCCCGTGAGGAAAAATATAAATCCTTTTAGAGTGATCTGGAAACTCTACTTTTAGACAGAAAAGAAAGTAAATATCATCTTCACCTGCACAGAAACCCTGCCACATATACTAGTTTAATATTTTGCCAAGTTGGGGGGTGGCAATTAGAGAACAAGACTATATACAGTATGTGACTGGGTTTTGATGGTGTGGCCCAGAAATATATGCACTAAGGAGAAAGACTGTGTAGGGAAGTTGGATCATTTGCGGGTAGGGACCATGCCAATGGGACAGAAAGCTGGGATAACAAAGAAACTTGGGCTCAATAAACTATTACCCTGTGTAGCATGACATGATTCAACCAACTTGTCGTGAGCCCTTGCTAAAATAGAGAAACAGAATGTTTGCCTACAAGGAGAAATTATTACCAAGAAAAAAATCTAAATAAGCCTTTCTAGCTCCATTTGCTCTCAGTCAATTAATTTTGAAGTCACCGCTGGGCTATATACATTATTAGCTTCTCAGTAGCTTTGCTCTAAGATAACACCTCTGACATGTAGATTATGATGTCTGCCTGGGTTACTTTACAGAAACTTGAAGGCTAATTTTCTAAAACGCTACTTCACTTGAGCCTGCAGATATCTGAGATGACTAAAAGGGGACAAAAATCTGGCATCTTTGTCTTCATGTTGTTCCTATTGCCATTGTTATCTTAACCTCTAGTCTGATTCTACTCTGCTTTCCACGTATACATGTTGGTCATCTAAAAAGTGTTTCATTGAAGGCTATGATACAGGATTAACTTGACCTATTGCCTGTTGGAATTGGCATGTGTTTCTTCTCCACTCTTGTGCTTTCTCAGCAGCTCAAATTCTGAAAGTCCTTCAGCCCCATCAAGGCCAGATGAATGTTTACACAAAATGATGACTCCAGCTGTTAAGAGAAACTCAGCAATTCCTGAGAAAAACTTCCTATCTGGAAGCCACAAAATACAAGGTCAAGATGTTTTGCACAGGTTGATGTCATCAGATGCACAAAACTTCAACAATCTCTGGAAGAGTTGAGAGTGACTACTACCCAGCTGTCGAAGTGCATCATAAGAAGAAACTTCTTTTGAAACCATGCCCTTAGCCAGTGGAAATTATCAGACTTTAATCCACCCCAGCAAATCAATAAAACCCTGCCTCTCTGTTTGTTTTGGGGGCACCGGCATGGTCACTCTCTCAATTAATTGTTGACTCCTTTCAGCCAAAGCCTCAACATTTCATCTGAAATCCCTCTTCCCAGTGAAGCTGTGCCTGTGCAAATGTGTCTTTCAATCCTTGGCCTGGTCTTATTTCTACTGTCTCTCTGGGTCAAAGATCCCATTGTTCCATGTCACAGTCACTCCTTTCCCTTGGATAAACAGAGCAAGCTTGTACAGGAGGCCTCTGAGGGTCTTGCCACTTCTCAGAATAAGAAGGAAAATGCTGAGCACAGGCTGCCAGCCCCATCTCTGCCATTTCCCTTCTCCTTTTCTGGGGTCATCCTGTCCTCTTTCCTAGTAAGTTCATCCTCCAGAGTAGGGGTAGAACTTCACTCCCTAAATCCACCATCACTGCCACCATACCCAGTGTGGATCACTATCCTTTCCATTTTATTACTTTCCGTTTTATTATCGTTTCCATTTTAGAGATGAAAAAGCAGACGCAGAGGGATGAATAACTTGCTCACAATCCTTCCTCTAGTGAGTAATGGTAGGTCCAGCTTACTCAGTTGCCTGATAGGAATCAGCTTGTCCAGGCTCTGAGCAAGTAGCTGCAGCCCCGCCCTGTGCCCAAGAAGGGTCTGTCACGTGACAGACTGCCAGGCGAAAGTTAGGAGCGGTGCCAGCCCCTCTCCCTGTGGGGCAATGGGTGGGGACCTCAGGACACCACCTACATCGGCCTCCAACAACTTGGCTGCCAGCTATGGTAGAGAAGGAGCTGGCCAGAGCCCATAGAGGATCCCCCGCAAGAAATATATCGCCTGTTGACACTTTTATGACCTAGACCAGCTTACAAAACACAGGCCGGTGCAGAGCTCCGCTTTCCCTGGCCCAGCTTGACATCACGTGCTCGCCCCGGGGCCGCCACTTGGAGTCAGGAAAGCCCATATATTTCCTTCCTTAGATAGACCTAGTGGTTCCCGTCAGGTGCAGAAAGCCAATAAATCACCAGCGAAGTCTCCGTGTATCTATCAGTCAGGAGGCTTGTCATCTTCCCGGCCTTGATCCACATGAAAGCCAGGAGCGGGAGGGGCAGAGCCGCGGACACCTGGAGGGAGCAGGGGCCGGGATCCAGACGTGTTCGCAGCTCTGAGGGGCCGGGAAATTTACACCTCCTCCCCCGCCCGCACGTGCTTCCTTTCGCTTTGAAGTTCCCGGCTCTGGACTGGGATGGAGGGAAACAAGTCCTCCAGCCTGGGGCTTTTAATATTCACCTCACGTCCTCTTTGCAGCTACTTTGGGAGGAATGAAAGCTATAAAGGGAAGTTTGGGCGAACACCCCACAGCCCAAAGGGATTTCACACCTTTCTGCCCCATGCCTGATCTAGGAGTTAAACAGGCCTGGGGACTTGGGGTGCCAATCCCACTAAGAACGGTTCTCAGTTTCTTCCAGAGATCGGGGTAGTGGCCGTGGAATCCCAGGGACTTCAGTTCAAATCCCACTTCTGTAGTTTTCACTAGGTACAGGAATCAAAGTTCCCTTAATGTACTCTATTTCCCTTCTTAAATCTCTCCATCAACAAACAGGTTTTGACCGTTGTTTCTTATGTGAAAAGCGATGGACAATCTGTCATTTAATCTCTAGGTCTCAGTTTCTTCAACTGGGAGACATAGGGCAGGAAAATTCGTGTTTTTCAGTGGGGAGCTACTGAGGGCTGAGGCCAGTACTGTCTTGCTCGTTATATACAGTACATGGAGCATCTTAGGCCTCAGACATTAAATGTCAGCAGGATCCTCACATTTCTAAGCATCAAGAATTTGAAAACACCCATTTCCAGTTCTAACATTTATCAGTTTAAAAATCCCACTTCAGGTTCTAAGTAATCACCCTTCCTGTGACTTTAGCCAAGCTGGTTAATGTTCTTTTTAAAAAATCTGTGTTATGAAAACAGTTAAATTTGTTCAATACATGTCATATAGTAATTGTGAAGATATAATTTTTTTTACAAAGTGGCCATGAAAACACAAAAGTGGATTCTGAAAGTAAGGTACTATTATTATATGAAAATAATAATCTTGTTCGATAGGCTCAAGACATTTATGCACATACTTTTAACTTTGAATGGATGCTCTGAGACAGGTTTTACTAATTTCATTTTACATGGAAGAAACAGATTAAAAGTATGGGGCTGGGGATTTAGCTCAATAGTTCCACGGCCTGCCTCTCAAGCACAAGGTTCCGAGTTCGATCCCCAGTACAAAAAAAAAAAAAGTATGAGATTTGCCAAAAGCCACACTGCTCCCAGACCATCTGGTCACAAAATCCATGTGCTAAGCAGTGTCTTCTCCCTCCTGCTCAAGTAGGTCAGAGCAGGGTAGTCTCTCTGGCAGGTGCCAACTATTTGCTTTAGAAGAGGAAACCAGCGTACATTCCACTGAGGGAATCAGTTTTGCAAGTCACTCTGTTCCCCAATCTCCTTTATGTGACTCAGTTTTTTGTTTCTTGTACCTTGCCTGTATCCTCTGTGAGAATGAAGGCTCTTAAGCTCTTCATTTTAATCTTTTGTATATCCCATTACTTCTGCACAACTCTATTCCTTCTATCTACATACTTGTACACACAGAGACCCACACACGTGTGCATGTATGCACACACACACCTCAAAACTAGGGTTACCAGATTTACCAAATTAAAATACAGGGTCCCCAATTAAATTTAAGTTTTATATAAACAATGGCTTTTTTCCTGCAAACATATCCCAAATATTGCACAGGACATACTTATATTTAAAAGTATCAATTTATTTTTTACTGAGAATTCCAAATTTAATTGGTTGTCCTATATTTCACCTGATAACTCTAACCAGAACTTACCAGACTCCAATACTCCTCGGCCTTCACACTGACCAGCAGACAGAGCCAGAGAGATCAAAGCCTATGGACAAAATACAGCAGTGCCTTAGTTAACAAACTTAATTGTGGAATGAATTCTGTGATCAGAAGCATGGAAAGATTAAGTTCATGAACCGAGGTACCATTGTATGGTTAGAGACCCCACAGTACAGGGCTCTTTGTCCTCAGAGCATTCTCAGTCTGGCTAAGAATAAAGAATTTTCAACAGGTAGCTGTTGGACACTTGTCTTAAGCTCTGGGCCAGCACCCCTGGGAGTTGTGCTGGACCCCTTCATCTCCTGCCATCTGACACCCCCTCAGACCTAACTCCCAGTTTCTCTCTTTCACATTCTCTCAGATCCGTTCACTTCCCTTCACATTGCCCCATCATCTTCCATTTTGATCCATTTGCTGAAAAATGTGCTTCTGAGGGCCTGCAGCAACTTCCTAACTTGGCTTCCTGTTCCCATTCCAGACCTGAGCGTCCCCCACTCCACACGGACACCATGTGGTTCCCCTTTCTTTTGAAATAACCTGCTTCCTCTTCTAGACCTAGGAATCTGTGTGCCTTGTGGAAATAGTAGGAAATCCCCTTAACTATAAAGGAGAAAAATTCAAACCCTCCCTGGTTAATTCTCTACACAAAATGTAAGGTTCTCATTTTATGTACATTAGAATCCAAACTCCAAAACTGAGTAACCAAGACTCCTATGATCTGGGGCTTACCTACTTTTCCCAACTTTGTCTGACACAATCTAGTTCACACCCCAGACTGCAGCTATACGTAATGATCTTATAGTTCCCTAATTAACAACCATGCTTTTTTGTATAGGTCCTTGCAAATCCTTGTCTTTTTTCTTCCTGGAAGTGGCTTCTTCCACTGCTCACTACCACACTCCTATTTATACTTTGGATCCAGTTCCAGTGTCACTTGTGTGAATTTCACTTCCCAAAACAGACTTAGAAATAATCTCCTTAGTTCCTAGAGTCATCTGTACTTACACAGTCTTTATAAATACTCTTCTTATACAGAGTAAAACACAGTGTGTTTCAATTATTTGTTTACATCTGTATTTACATCTAAATAAAGATCTTTAAGGGAAGACATCATGTTTCTCAGGAACCAAATAAAATGTCTCACACAATTAGGAGCTCGACAAAATATTTGTTAATCATTAATTTCTTAATTAACGGAGCACTTCATTTTTCCCACATGCCTTATGCATTTCACTGATGGCTTCATACTCATTATCCTACCCAATTTAATGCTGATTTAAATGCTGCTGAAACTGAACTAGATTGTAAATACTCATGATTTCCACAGTAGATATTTCAGAGATATACATAAATGTTTGTTGAATGACTGAATTATTTTCCTCCAGACTGAGCAGAGAACACAGCACATGGTAATTTGTAAAAGGTCCCAGACAGGGATTAAGGGTTCTAGTCTCTGCTCTTTTCACCCCATGTAAGTTACCATAATTTTCTGGGTCTTGATTGCCTTGGCCATGAAATGTGGGGAGGAGTCCATTTCATTTCCTAGGTCCTCTATATCTTTACAGGCCAATGAATTTATAAATAATCTGACCAGTTGTGACTTGCTGTCTTAGTTACTTTTCTCACTGCTGAGACAAAATACCTGACACCCATAGTTGAGGGAGAAAATGTTTATTTTGCTCACAGTTTGTAGAGGTTTCAAGTCCATAATGAGCTGGCTCCAAGACAGGGTTTCATGACAGATAAGTATTGTGGAGGAGAAACAGTTTATGGCAGGCAGAAGATAATAAAGCAAGCAAGGGACCTCTGCAGCTTCTTTCTGCTCCTTTTATACTCTGTCTAGGCTACCAGGATTAGGGCAGTGTCAAGCCAATCAGTGAACCGATTTAGTAACCACACACCCTTAATCCCAGGATCCCACACTCTAGATCTGGCCACCTCTGAAAAAGCCCTGCCTGTGACTGCACGAGGCTTTGGGGATAGGGGGGCATCTAGACCCAAACCATAACACTTGCTAAGTTGTGTCTCCTGTGTTCAAGGTGGGCAATAACATTTGGTGTTTTGTAGTGCTGGGGATGGCGCTCAGAACTTTTCATATGCTAGGCAAGTTCTCTACCACGGAGCTACGTCTGCAGCCAGGAAATGCCAATTTCTGTGTTTCTTCATTCAAGACAAGAGAACATTGTGTGGCACAGATGAAATTAGCAATTCAGTTAATAGTTCTCTGTATCTTCTCCCACTACTGTGTGTTAAATATTGAGTAAAATACCACCTGAATCCCTGAGTCAGTAGACTGAGTTGACTGCCCTCCCTAATGTGGGTGGCCCTTATCCAATCAGTTGAAGGTCAGAATACAACAAAACAGGCTGAATTCTTCCAGTAAGGGGAAATTCCTCCTGCCTGATTGGAGCTGGGACATCAGACTTTTCCTGCTCTCAAACTCTAACTAGGTCTTCTTAGGTCTTGTTCCTGTGACCTTCAGACTTGGACTCCTGGATCTCTAGCTTGTTTACTACAGATCTCAGCTTCTGTAGAGCTCTCTCTATCTCTCCATATATATGTGTGTATCTGTCTATCTATCTATCTATCTATCTATCTATCTATCTATATGGGGCTGGGCATGAACTCAGTAAGTCTTGGGGGAGAGAGAGAGAGAGAGAGAGAGAGAGAGAGAGAGAGAGAGAGAGAGAGAATTGATTCTGTATCAATGAAAAGAACTGATTAATATAACCTGTTAGGCAATAATCAGCCAGCCAGATATCAGGCCTCTTGCTAAATGTAATAGCCTGGAAGAAGAATTCCAAGCCTATCCTACCCACCCCTCCCTGCAGGACCAGCCCTAGACACCTTTTTTTTTTTTTCTTAAATTCTTTCATTGGTACATTTTAGGTATGCGTTTACATTTATCATTGGGTATTTGTTTGTATATGATGTATCTTGGTTCTTATTTTTTCCTTATTCCTTGTTCTCCCTTCACCACCTCCACCCTTTCCTATTTACAAAGACTCTGTTTCCATTTTTTCCTTTTCTCATATTTTTTCCTTTCCTTACACTATTTTAAAGTCTATCTTCAGTTCCACCACCATGTAGTCACTAAGGATTTCCTTCTGGTGACTGTTCAATGCCCTGGGATTCTCACTTTAAAACTTCTTGCACAAAAGGTGCTACCTCAGGTTTCTTTGCTATCACAGGTTATAATTACACAACATGTCAGTGCTGAGGGATAATAATCTTTAACTATATACTGTAAATAAATAATCTCATTTGATCTCCCAAGGACTGATCAGCAACTACTATCAGCCTTGTTTTATAAGTGCTAAAATTAAAGTACACAGAGGTTAAAAGCCATTTCCAAAATTAATCAGCAAATGATGAAGCCAGAATAAACTCAGTCAATCTTGCCTCTAAATGCTATATTGCAACTAGAGGTTCAGAAGTTTTATAAGCACAGAAAGAGCTTGTGTCTAGGGTCTCAAAATTTGATATGAGTCCCAGCTTCTTGGCATGCCATGCATGGGCACCTGGCTCCTAAATTTTGTGATTCTGAGTTTTCTTCTCTAAAATGGAAATAATCATAGTCATCCCTGCTCCTCCTCACCCACACAGAGTTCTGAGGATCACAAGAATGAGAGTATGTGGGAGTGCTTTGTCAATTGTAAAGAGCTATACAAATATGAGGTATTATTATTTCCAGCTGGGGTTGTCTGAGCCTACTTCAATAAGGGCATTATAAATGATTGATAAGACTTTATGTGGTATTTGTGTTTTAAGGGGGAACAAGCCTTAAGTCAAATGACTAAAACTCTGGTATGAAATGTTGGTGCAGCTCTCCAGACAGAGGGCTTTTGGCAAGTGAATGGAGGGTAAGCCCAAATCCAAAAAGCTAGTCAGTCTAAATTAGGTTCCAGGATTGTGAAATGTTATTAAATGTTGATTACTATTTAACTTTTTGTTGAACATATCAAAGAAAATAATAATACTGGTAAATATTTGTTTGAATGCTTACTTTGCATCAGGAGTTGTTCTAAGTATTTCATGGTTATGTTATTTAATCTTTGCAGTAGTTCAGTGTGTTAAAAATCTCTATGAGGAACATGACTCTTCCTATTTTCCCAATGAGCAAAATAAGAATTAGAGAAGTTAATTAAATTTTCTAGGGTCACACAGCTAGTAAATGGTAGAGCTTGGGATTTGAACCCAGGGATTCTGACACAGAGAGCAAGGAATGGATAGAAAGAGGGAGAGAAAAGAAAGGGGGGGAATGAAAAGTGAGAGAGAAAGAGAAAAAGAAGGAAAAGAAAGGAAAGGAAAGGAAAAGAAAAGAAAAGAAAAGACAAGAAAAGAAAAGAAAAATTTTTTACTGAGTATTCCCCATTTGGATTGTTCTGAGTCTGTTGTGGTTTATATCTACAAAGGCCCCCAAAGGCTCCTGTGTTTTGAAGGTGATTGGATTATAGGGGTGGTATGGCTGGCTTGCTGTTGGGGGGCAGGGTGTGGTCAGAGAGACAGGTCACTGGGGTATGGCCTGGAAGAGTCCATGTCCCTCCCTGGCTTTTCCCTTTATTCTCTGCTTCCTGGCTCCCATGAGGTGAGCAAGTTTTCTCTACTAGACTCTTCTGCCATATTACTTCCACCCAGAGCTGACCAACCATGCAAGGACTGATACTTGTGAAACATGAGCCAAAATAAATCTCTCCTCTTTCAAGTTGTGGATGTAGGGTATTTTGTTCCAGTGATGAGAAAGTGATTAAGACAGATTTCTGGGGAAGAAATGGACAAAACTTGAGACTCAAATAATCTCCAAATGAAACTTATCCCAAGGAGATCAAAGTGGGCCCTTTGGGGCCCTCTTTGCCCATTAGATAGAGTGATTCACCTTCACATTTATGCACTATAATGAATCCACTGCCATGGTGGTGAAAATACAAACAAGGTGCTATGGAAAGGCAGAGAAAAGATGAAGGTAAGGGTAAAAAAGACCTTCTGACATCGATGATGTATGTTCATACAAAACTCTGGGAAGCAATTGGGGCTAAAATACTGATTTGATTTGTTAAAAATAATTTATTAGCCAATATAGGTTGATATTAGGCTAAGTACTAGACTTGGAAGTCAGGACAAGTTACATAAGATGCACTATCAAATAGTCCCAAAATATCAGTGGCTTAAGCCCAAAAAGGAAGTTTATTTCTCACTCAGACACCGTGTAAAGTATCTATTGCTGAGGGTTTGTGGTCTACATCATCACATAGGGCTCTGAGCTGAGAAGTCTGCCACATCTTGTGACTTCTGCATCTAAAACAGGAGTCATTTAGGCAAAAGAAGAGAGAGACTAAAGAATCACATATGGCCCTTTTGTATCTTTATCCTGGGAATGACACATTATGTCTGTCCCCATTTCTTTGGCAGAATTTGCTTTATGGCCTCAGAAAACTGCAGGCCCTTGGAAATATAAAGGTGCAAATGTAAACTGTGGTGAACATCACCATCTGTGTTGTGTGGCCATCAGTATATGGGAGATGATTATATTCAGTAGAGAAATGCTAGGATCAATCCACATAGATTTGCACAGTGAAAAGAGGATGGTCAAGGGTAAAACTTCCTATAATCAAGACATGAAGAAGTAGATTAGACCAAGGATGAGACTGAGATGTGATGTTAAAAGATTTAAGATCTAGGAGCCAATGGTATCACTCAAGGCAAGGAAGTGGATAAGTCTGTAAGGAGGTGCTGAGTGGCCAGTGCAACCCAAAACAATAGTAGCATGAAGACTGGAGCTATCTGTATTTAGAAATCAAGATGTGTCAGAGGCCTACCATTCCATCAGTGAGTGTGTGCAGATCCCTGGAAGCAGTTGTGTGGCCCATATTGGCATGGCTGCAGGCTGATCCTGGCTGGTGTCCACCCCAATCCCAGAGGCTCAGGCACAACTGCCCAAGTCAGAGGCCCATCTGGAAAGGGGCTGCAAAGTCACACAGGCTTTAGCCAGAGGCCCACCATACAATTGGTCACAGCCAGGGATCCACCTGGAGAAGAGCTGTACAGGCACACAAGCAATACCCAGAGTCTTGCCCTATACCATTTATAAGTGCATGTGCAGACAACAGGAACTGGAGTACACAGTCCCCAACTTAAGGTCCTCCCAGACAGCAGCTACATAGGGGCCCCAGAGAGAGGCACACCTAGATACCATCCCAAGTGTGCACAGGCCCCAGCCAGAAGCCCTCCCAGACAACAGGTCAGCTCAGGAATCCAGAAGGCCACCACTCTAAACCCAGGAATTGGTGTACTGGTGAGCAGCAGAGTAAAGGCTGCTTGGTGGCTTTCTGAGAATTCAAGACCACTGGGTGACCAAAAAGACACCCCAACAAAGACACAGCAGGCCGCATCTGTTGAAATGAGAAGACATGTAAATAAGTCCCAAAACCAGACTTCCAGATCACCTAAGGCAACCCCAAAGGGAAATGAGATGGAACAATCTGATATTCAACCACCTGGACTCCCTGAACTGGCAATGAAAGAGGACCTGGAAAAAATGAAATCAGAAATAATTTCTCAGATAACACCAGAGATTGTGCCCATAGTACAAGATATGATTAATAAATCTAGAGAGGACACAGATAAAAAAATAGAGGAGCTGAGGAATATGAAGGAATCCCAACATGGGAAACAAATGGAATCCATAAAACACATGCAAACAGATTTCCAGAAGGTTAAAAACTCCACTGAAAGTTTATTCAGCAGAATGACCCAATGCAAGGATATAATTTCAGACACAGAAG